CAAACAACTTCTCTGAAGTCTCACAATGAGCAGCTGCAGTGCTAAAAATAGACCTGAATAGCACACATAGTAAACTAGCATTGTACCCGCCCTCTGCTGATGGACCTGATGGAGAACTGCAGCAGAGGGCGGGTACAATGCTAGTGTACTATTGGCTATTGCAAATTGAAATAGCCAATAGGAATCTAGCAATGCATTCCAATGGACAAAATGTATTCTATTTTTCTTTCTATTCTGACACGGCTTTGTGTCAGAATAAATAAAATAGAAACACCAGTGAGAAGAACTCCTTCGCTGGCCGGGAGCGGGAGACTGCCGGAGCGCCAGGGAGAGTTTGCTGTTTGGAGATCAGTGTCCCTGGTTAGCAGGTAACCAGGGACGCTGATCTCTCTGCAAGTGGCCGGAGCCAGCCGTAAGATCACGGCTGGCTCCGCCCAGCTGTCAGAAGCAGGCTGCCGGCCGGCCAATCGGCCAGCTTTGGCTTTCAGCGCGGCTGAGCCGAGCCGAGGCATATGCGTTCGGCTCGACTGAGCCGCTCGGCCACGTTCGGGAGTTGTATGGGCTATAGTGAATAGCGTACAGTTGTACTGAACCGAAGGGGTCCTGGGGCCGAAGCTAGCCGAAGGATCGGCCGAAGCTGCGGCTAGATCCTTCGGCAGCTTCATGAATAGACCCCTATGTCTTTGAGATGATAAGAGGGGCTGTGAGAGGTCTGAGCTGGCTAGCCCATTGTATGTTAATGAAGCTTATCAGATAAACACAATCCTCAAATTTTAGTCCCAAGCCTTCCCATTAGGACAGACTACTGTGAAAGGGCTAAGAAAAACCTGGAATTAGCCATCTTGCCTGATTTAACAAAACATCTATTAGACATTTTTTTTAAAGGTATTTTCATTATGTTGTGTGAATAGGATCACGTAACGAACATATAGAGGGCTTTTCTCAAATATGATTGCAAAAGTGAAAATACACTTTAGGAACAGACATTGAATGAAAACCCATTTGTCATTTATCCTTTTTGCTGTCTCCACACATAAGTTATAGAATTAAATGTTTCTACTGCTAACTTTCTTTTCTATTCTGTTTTCTAATTATTATTGTTCTAAAATGATGGCCCTGAAATTAGTCTTTTTTAACCTTAGTGTATTCTCTGCTCATTGACAGCAAAACTGGAAGTACTCAGGACAGAGGTCATCCAGACTCATTTGAAGAGAAAAAAAAACAGTGAATTAAAAAAAAGTGTTATTAAAACCTCCCTTTCGCTGCTGGCTGTAATTGGAAACCCTTGATGGTATTGGGGTATGACCATATTTTTTGTGCTATCTAGAAATAAAGATATCATGTTGCCCAAAGTACCCCAAGCATGTCCATTTGCTGATCAAAGACAAGTTTTACTTTAGGTTCAGCATTGCTGCTCTGTACAATAATTTGCTGCTATACTCAATTCATAGAAAACCCTGTCCCTAATACCTGAGTATATGAGGACATTCAGCCTGTTTATTGTACTACTGCTAAACAGTTAGATCATGTTTTTTAAGTTTATAATACATACGTGAAGCTTGGTACAGTTCCATCCAGCCACTTCCATACTTTCTCTTCTTCTCTGTCTGTTAGTCCAATCCAGAAATTTCCGTTACCATTTGTTTGTTTCTTAATGAATTGCTATGAAACAAGAAAAGTGACACCTTAGCAAATATAAAGTATTAAGCCAGCATCAACTTAACTTGCCTGTTATTCTTGAAGTAGTCAATAAAGTTGCCTCTAAAGATTAGACATGTGTGATTTGTTTTGTTCCGAATCCAAATTCGGACAAATTTTTCCGAAATTTGGACAAATTTTCCGAAATTTGGACAATCGGTAACATTAATTTCCGAATCCTAATGCATCTGAATGTGCCCGAATTTCCATTTCCGAATTTCAGATCCCGTCCGAATTTCATTCAAAAACGAAACTGAATCGGACATGTGACTTTTCTGGCCAATCAGATGTGTTTATCGGTTTAATGCATCCGAATGGGTCTGAACACGTATTTTCGTTATGGCAACATGGGAGCCATATACAGTATATACATATAATACTTAAGCTGGGGCTCCTAGACCCGAATGGTATTCGGGATCCGAATTTCCGAATGGTAGTAGCAATGATTATTAGGATGCAAACTCATCTGAAACTAACAAAATTCAGATTTCCTCCAAATCCAAAACCTGAACTGAGTTGAATTTCGGATCCGAATCCGAACATAAGGAAATATCCGAACCAAACTGAATTTTTCCTCAGTTTACATGTCTAGTAAAGATTACACAACACTGTTGAAATTATCAGGAAGTATATGGAGTCTAATGGACCTCATAAATTACCTTTAGTCAGAAAGGGTTTAATCACATAATAGTCTATTGTTTCTACAAAATAATTGTGTACAGGGGTATCTGCAGTGCACATGCCCATATAGACTTGCAGGTTCCAATCCAGCTCCAACTTTACCCTGCTCCGAGTCAACTTAATCCAATACTTTTTCTACCAATAAGCTTTCCTGAGCATAGAGACATTCTAAAAAAAATAACAATCTCCTGCTAGAGAGCCTTAAATGCCTCTAAGAATGCCTCTAGAGAATGCCTTTTTCTATCATAATCACTGGAAAGGTGCATGAAGGAATCTTAACATCTGTATGGTTAGAGACTCTTATAACATAACCAGCCACTTAGGGCTGCTAAGGAGAGCTGTAACCCTGTTGTTTTGGGTACTGGTTGCTGCTATGTTGGTCAAACCCATGTTTCAAAGGCACTGTCACTATATTATAGTTGATTATCTTTGGTGGAGGAATGTGTTCCCATGAATCAAATTACCGATTTATTGGTGGACCTAGAACACTTATTTTTAATGCCACATTTCATCCACCATGTAACAGAAACTGCTGTTAAATTCACATATGTTCTGCAATGTATCTGTATAATCATTTAAATCACCATGCACCCTTCCTTGTGGAAGAAAAATCAGATCTTTGTATATTTAACTTACTTGCTCTTCTTTAGTTTCTATGACAACTAACACAGCGCCTTTATCCTCACAGAAAAGCTTTGCATCATCAAATATATCTTTTCCACTTGAGAAATAGTAACACTTGTCAGAAAAATTCCTCCACTCATATGGACAACCTAAAATGAAAATAGGTGTGTTTTATATATGTTTGGGATTATCAAGAAATAAAAGAAAAAAACAGTATAACCAGCTTTTTGTGTTTGCCATCCTATGTAGCTGCAATATACCAGTGTGATACCATTTTGTGAGCCTGTTATTAGTTTTTGTGTGTCACAGTCATGCCTCTTAAATAATGCCTGATCTTTGTATGCCTGTCTAAGCACCAAATACACCAGATCTGTTTCTGAAACAAATTACAGATACTGTAGGTGCTAAAAAGCAATATACACAATTATAACTTACCTGTCACCAAAGGATTCATCATAAATTCTGGTGTAGAATCATCTGGCAATAACAGGGCTTTTGCAGCATCTCCAGGTGGTCCAGGTGGTCCTCTAAGTCCTGGAAGTCCAGGAAGTCCAGGTATACCTGGTGGACCAGTTGCCCCTCTGACACCAGGAACACCAGGCTCGCCAATGACTCCTTTAACACCTTGTGGGCCTTCAGGCCCAGGTGGCCCAGGTGGTCCACTTGATCCAGGTGAACCTGATACACCTGGATCTCCTTTTGGTCCAGGTTCTCCAGGTTTACCAGATGATCCTCTTTGCCCTTTGTTGCCTTGTGAACCTCTTGAGCCTTTTGAACCTTTTTCTCCTGGAGGGCCTATTGGCCCAGGTGGTCCTTTTTCCCCAGCAGGTCCTGGCAGCCCTGGTTCTCCCTGTACTCCTGTTTGTCCTTTTGGTCCAACAGTTCCCATGGGACCTTGTGGTCCTCTCTCTCCTTTAGGCCCTCTTGGACCTGGTGGTCCTGATAAAAACAAAATATTATTTATGATTTAACTAATCCATAAAGCAAAACACATGCACCAACATCAAATAAAACATTTAGTGGCTGTGTAATAAATGCCCAACTGCCCCCTAATAAATACCCTTCCCAAGTGAAATTGTAAATAACATTTTATTTTGGTTTACGCTTAGATAAAAATGAAATGTGTTGCGAACAAGTAAAAAAAGGGCCAGGCTGCAAATAATGGCTATCATTGACCTTGCTTTTCTCCCTTAAAGGAGAACTATGAGGTGAGTGCTTTTCACTCACCTCATAGTTCTAGCCGACCTGTGACAATGAGACTGTCACAGGTCGGCTCAGTAGATCGGGAGGTGAGCGAACACATAGTCGGTATACTGAGCCTAGGTTGACGGGAGGACACTAGTTTGTGTCCTCCCGTTACCCTAAGGAGAACTATGGGGAAAAGCCTTAACCCCATAGTTCTCCTTTAAGCTATTCATTACTTGCCTTCACCAACCATCACATGAGTGCACTCATACTCTTTGCCTATCCAATACATTTGATCTATACATACTACACTATGTGAGTTCCCCTGTGCTGCTCCTTGTTCCTGTCAGTTGTTATGGTTAGAGCGCCCTCTCAGCGAGCTGGCTATATCGGATTATTTACTTAGTTTTATTTTATTTACTGTATGTATCATTCCTATGTCTAGGTAATTGGGACTACCTCTATACCAATTGTTATTATTCTTTATTTTCTTATCTTTTGGTTGCTTTTAGGAGACCTGAGCTGAGAGGAATATTTAATTTGCTGCTGGTAAACCTGGAACAAAAATGCATCAAGTTAAAAGACTTACATACATGTGGCTGGTGATTGACTCATAAGGTATTTAGGTCAAAGTTTCAGCACACAGTTATGCAGCTAGCATTTTGCAAGTGGAGGTCACCATTGATAGCCTTCATACTTTAATTAGTATAGGTTTCCTTGAAGCAGGGAATGCAAATCACATTCCCTGGCATAAAGCTGACCACTAGAATGCATATTTGAAATGATGTACTGTAAAAAAATAATCAACACTGGGAAAAGCCAGCAAATAAAAGTGTGAAAAGTAGCCAAATTATTAACTGTCGCAATAATAACTAAAGATGTGCAGGTGTTAAAAATACCCTATACAGTTACCTTCAGCAGACACTGAAAAAGCCATGTGTTCTGATATACTACATGTAATATATTTTCAATAGAAGTAAACCTAGACAAGGGAACATTTTTCCCATCCAATTATAAGCTATAATAAAGAGATTTTCTTCATACTGTAGTTTGCTTTGAAATGTCACAGTCTTTTGTTTGAAAAAAAATAATTCACAGACTTATAGCAGATAGTGTACAAAATATGATGATTTCTATTTAAATTTCATAATTACTCATCTCGGAAAGAGTAAAACCTACTCAGATTATTAGAAAGGCCATAGCTATGTTCCCTGAAGCACACTTATATTGAGGTATAGGGATAAATATACAGCAGATGCAAGAAAATAACCAACGCTGGATATTTAAAGGGTCAGTCTGCCCAAAAATAAAATGGCAATTTATGGTAGAGAATGGAGAGTTAAACCACCTGACAATTTTCTATATCTCTTGGGGATTCCTAAGATCACTGGCTAACATGAGGAGTCCCACTCTCCTTGTTGTATTAGCCATTTAATATCATAGAGAATACAACAGGGGGTCAGGACACACAAAGGTGGAAGGTAACTTACAAAACTCACAAGTGAACAGGAAAAGTCTCAGGAATTATGACAGTTGCAGTATCCAAGATCAATTTTGGGTGGACTGACCCTTTAAGCTAAATTCAGTTTGCTACTTAAAATCAGTATGAAATATGGAGCGAAAAGGACATGGTCTTTCAAACCCCATAATACATAAAACAAAGGATAGTGGTAGAGAAAATCAGAAACGCTCAATCACATGCTCTCACCTTGAAGTATTGTAAAATTCTTAATCAGCTGTCCATGCTTGGAATCAACTATCTTCATTTCTTCCATGATAACTGATAAATTGGCTACTTCATTATCTAATCGTTGTCTCATAATTTCCTGCTGAGCCTTTAGAGCTGTTGTGTCAAGTTGAACATTGGCGAGAGAATTATTTATCTGATTTAAATCTTCTGTATGCTTAGTCACTGTGTCAGTGCAAGTCGTCCTCACATCGTTAAGATTGCTAGTCAGCGTCCTGAGATGGTGAGCAGTATAGCTAATGTTACTAATAATTCCTACTATATCGTCTTCAAATTTTTGGAAACGTTCTTCCAAATAGTTGAATTTAGCATTCGTCCTATTCTCATATTCTTTGTGGTAGTCCTGGAGGTCCTTAAGATTTTGTTCATTTGTCTGAGCAATCACTGTGACATTGTCAATTTGGCCATTAAGAGCATTTAACTGATTGCTCATATCTTCTACTGTCTCATTGTTGGCCTTGACAAGAGCTGAGTTATTAGCTGCTATGCTTTGTAAGTTCTGTACCCTTTCCCTCAGCCATTCTGTATCCTTTTTAGTTTGAAGAACAGCCTGCTGTAAGCTCAGAAAATCATTCTTGATACGTTGGATAGCTTGGCTGGTATCATCCACTGACCTCTGCAAAGTGCTAATAATTGTCCTCTGCTGGGTCTGTGTTAAATTCAGATTGTTAACACTCATAATGATTACATTGCTTGATTGCATCTGGTTTTGAAGGTTTGTTTGAAGGCTTGTGGTATCTTGTTGCAGACTGGAGACATAAGTGTTATATACTTGCAATGTTTGATTGATTCCATTAATCATTAGAGAGTTATTGTCTAAGGCACTTTTCATTTGACTTTGTTTAGCATCCAGAAGGTCTCCAGACTCGTTTAGCTTCTCAAGAGCATCTTTGTTCCTGCTGCTTTTTTCTGTGATCTCTCGCAGCTGCTGGCGAATGGCCACAATATCTGACCTCACACTTGACAGCTCACTGTTGGTGTTGTCAGATTTTTCTCCTGCTTGGTTATCTGAAAAATACATTTAATAAAATAAAAACATGTTTATAAATAATACAAGTAATATATAGTTCAGTTTAAGCTATCCAGCGCTTAGTGCAAAATAATTTACAAGAAACAATAGTCCATGGATTCAAAAGATAGCCAAGAGATGCTATTTGCTTAATCCAGACATTTTTGGCTTGCAGGGACCGGTCTAGCAACTCTGCAGGAATGAGGATCAGATGAGTATATCTGCTGGCAGCCAGTGGCAGCCCTACATCCTGTCCCCTCTACAGCCGGGAAAGCATCCTGTGTAGTAGGGGTGCTGAAGGTTATGCAGGTAGGCCTAGACACACAGATGGGGGTCACTATAGAAGGACACTAAAAGAGGATAAGGAAGGAATTATGGCAGATGACAAGGGGAACCCTATCTTACAGACACACATTGATAAATACAGAACAATTATACAGCAAAAATGATATGGTAAATCTAGTTGCAAACTGTAATGGTGGATACAAGTGTATGTTCAAATGCCAGGTGTTTGGTGAGCAAAATTGGAAAGTTGGAAGCTTTGGTGAATGAACAATATGATTTCATTGGTATTGCAGAATCTTGGCAACATTGTTAATAAGATTGGGTTGTTAATATTTCTGGCTCTGGCTGTGCTTTCTTTCAGAAAGACAGAGTAAAGAGAAAAGGTGGTAGTGTCTATCTGTGAGAAGTGTGAAAGAATGTGAAACATGATCTTTTCCATGGAGAGTGTGTTGTGATGGTGTTGAGTCATCATGAGTGGAATTACATATGGGTGGGCTAGAATAGGGGTAATAATGGGATATTTTACATTGAAATTGACTGGTGTAATGGCTCCGCAGGAACAGTGTCATTATACCAGTCAATTTTGCAATTCATTTTTTAATTATAAACTTATAAAGGATAATTTTATGGGAAGTTTATAGAAGCACTAACCAAAAAATGATGCTCTATTGGACCTGTGAATTATAAACATTGCAGAGCTTATTACAATTGTTCATATAAATTAACAATAAGCACATACAGGTGAGACAAAAACACAGATTGGGAGGAAATATTGTCAACAAACAACACAAAACAGAACTAGTATTGTCTTGGACTGATTTTATGTAAACACACTGCAAAATATATTCCCTTGGGCGATATGTCTAAAATGCTAAAAATAAAATCTTTGTTGCTTACTTCTAACAGTGAAAAATGCCATAACAATAAGAAAAGGTCATTAAAAAAAATTGAAAACTTGCTCGCATTATTTTAAAGTTACAAAGAATAAAACAAAAGCTCTAATAAAAGGAAATCAGGCTGGCAAAAATGTACCATATAATGGTAGATTTCCCCACGAACATTTATATGAAAAATCTAATCAGAACATTCAATAATGCAATCAGAGACTTGACGAATGTCATTCGAAATCAGGTCTGATTTTACATTCGATTTTGGAATGAATGGAGTTTCTCCATTCACTGCTAGAATTTAGTTAGTTTGAGAAAAAAATTCCATTCTGCTTACTACAGTCGAAAACAATTGCTGATTTGATCCCATTGACTATAATTGAACAAATGTTCCGAAAACCAATTTTTTCAAAAGTTCAAATTCTACTGGCTTTAAATTTGACATTAAAGTCACATCCACCCATGCTACTGTAGGGACTTACCTTAAATGATGCCTCTTGATCTGATCATCTTCTTCTTTCCTGTAGTTTTCAGCAGTCCCTCCAGCGCTGGTGCCGGTCTCTGATCCAGGGTTGACTGCTGTGTCTTCTGTGTCCCATGGAGTCTGTGCGGGTGCACGCTGCTGCGCTGCCTGCATTGACTTACCTTTGTTTTCTCCCTGTCTCCCGGCCGAAGATTTCTACTGCGCATGCGCCCGCCGCATGATCCTTCACGGCCGCCCAAGAATTTTCAGATCTTTGGACGGAAGCAAGCGGCGGAGACACAGGTAAGTTTTTACCTCTGTGATAACTTTTTTTTAAATTTGATGTTGTTGCATATATCTACTGCTTGTTAGAACTATGGCCAGACCTTTTTGGTGTTAGTTCTACTAAGTACTCCTGTGAAACAAAACTCAGCATATAGCAGCCTATTGCTATATGCAGAACCACGCTGCAGCTGGGAAGGATGCCGACAATATTGACAGCTGATTGACTGGCTCTTTAGAGCCAGAGCCAGCCATGCCCACCCCCTTCCCTGACTGACAGTCACCACTCTCTGCAAGTAGAAGATCATGAACTGAGCAATCAGCAGTTTGTGATCACTCAGTTCTCGATCTATAGAGCCGACATGTGACAGCTTCAGTATCACATGTCGGTTCTAACTATGGGGATGAGTGCATTTCAGTCTCCCCACAGTTCTTTCTAGCTCAGTATATTCTTTAAAAAAAAAAAAAAGCATACTGTGCTTCTATATGAACAAAATATAAACAGCTATTAAAATGTAAAAGACATACAACTGAAGACTATTGATTTAGGTAGTATCATTGCCTGGAGCAAACTAGACTGTCTTTTCAAGGTTTGGTTTGTTTTTTTTCCTCAAGATCAACTGCAAGTTTAGAGTTCTGGGAATTATTTTGCTTAAACTCAATGGACATGTGTCTTTTTTTAAACCTAACTTTGAAATCGAAAAGTGCAGGAGAATATAATTTTGCTTGTCAGCTTACCTAATTTTTTCAAGTTCTGTTCCACTTCTAAGATTTTATTATTGTAACCCATGTGTGACTTTTCCATGTCACCTGAAACACCATCCATTCTTTCAACAACTGAAAAGAAGAGAAAAACACTGGTTAATTTATTGTTCCTATATCAATGGTGTAATAGAACTACTATGTCAGCAAAGCCTAGCACACCTAAACTTTATCTTGTAAAAACAAGTCTGACGAGAATCCCACATAACAAATATGTAAAAAGAGCTCAGCAAGCTCTGAACTGCTTTGGAAACCCTTAAAGCTCCGTTCAGCTCCAGCGTGGAACTGTTGAATACAAACCTTAATGTGAATGATTTTTGCAACTTTAGGTGAACTATTATGAGGCTTTAGGAGATTTTCAGGGAGCTTCAGCAGTGCCTGTACCTTGCTAAAAGAATGTTTAAAAGTATTGCCAACACAGCCTTTAAAACTGTTTTTATGCCAGGCAGAAAACAATGCATGCAATGCTGCAAGGCTTGCCAGTATAGGACGCCTGTCACATTAGCATTTACAAGCTAAAGCTTAGGTGAACAAGTTGTTGTGAAGTATTTTTGAAGGATCTGGAATTTAGTGTTTGAATTTTACATCCGATTATATGTAGCAGTGTTAATTTGTTTATGGTTGGCCTTGAAATGCATTGTGCTGCATTGGTATAAATGCAGCCAGTGGCGTAACAATCGCCATAGCGACCCAGGCGGCCGCTATGGGGCCAGGGCACAGGGGGGCCCCGGCCAGGACATCCCTGATGCCGTGTGGGCTGTCTAGTTTGCTATGGCATCTCATGCTGGTGGCTGTCACTGGCGGCTGTGAAGAGGAACGCGCCGCTATTTAGATCACTGACAGTGATCTGTGCAGCGGTGCGTTCCTCTCCACAGCCGCTGCTGAGTCAGTGAGAGCCAGCAGTGGCGGTGGAGGAGGCTGGACCCGGCAGGGGAGGAGGAGGTGGGACCCGTGGTCGGCAGCAGAAGAGGAGGTGGGTCCGGCGACAGAGGAGGAGGTGGGGCCCATCAGCGACCATGGAGCAAGAGGAGGCGGACAGGTAAGGAGTGTGACCAGCTCACCTGAGACCCTGCAGAGCCCACCATAGATAGACTGTGGTGGGCCCTGCAGGGTCACCCTCAGGTGGGCTGTGTGGGATCTCAAGTGGGCTCTGCAATGGGTGTAACTAGAAATCACAGGGCCCCATACAAATTTAGGTTTAATCACACAGCATTAATATTTTGCTACCTATTCTTACAATGATGGTTATTTCTTTCTAATCACTATTAGCATGATATACAGAAAAGCAGTTTTATGTTTTACGTTAGCATTTTCTTAATTTGTGTATATATTTTAACATTTAAATGACATGTTAGGCTAAGCACATTATTGCTTTGTCATGAGTTCAGGAGTAAGTAATGCACACTTTAGAGATCTGTAATGCAGAATGCAGGGGTCAGCAGAAAGTTATGCAGAATTTAGAGGTCTGCAGTATAAAATGCAGAGTCCAGGGATCAGCAGTAAGTAATTCAGATTTTAGAGGTCTTTAGTATGTAATGCATAGTGCAGAGGTCTAGAGTAAGCAATGCCACGTTTAGAGATCTGTAGTATATAATGCAGAGACAAGAGGTCAGAGCACAGAGCAAAGGTCAGTAGTATGTAACACAGAGTACAGGAATCAGGAGTACTAAATGCAGAGTTCAGAAGTCAGGAGTATATAACACATAGTGTAGGGGTCAGTAGAAAGTAATGCAGTGCAGAGGTGAGTAGTAAAGCAGAGTTTAGGGGTTAGCAGTAACTACGGCAGAGTGCAGGGATCAATAGTAAGTAACACAGAGTTCGGAAGTAATTAATGCAGAGTCCAGGAGTCTGCAGCACTGATGTGCGGTCTTAGAATCAGCAGGTGGAGTCAGAGACTGGCAACCTTAAAATTATAAACCTTACAAAACATTTCCAGTGTTCTACCATCTTTTAAGCAGTGATATCATGCTTATATATGGAGAATAGCGATGTCACACTCAAAAATGTAAACCTCATCATTACGGTTATGCCAGGCAGAAAACAATGCATGCAGGACTTTAAAAACTGACAACTACCTAAATCTTAGTGCAAACGCTACACTAAGATTTAGGTATCTGCATCTACTCAGCATGAGGAACCATTCTGCTCCTTTCAAGTGAATGGGTTTTTCCTACAGACACTTCACAAATTAGATTAGTGACTTTTACAACACAAGATTTGAACCAAAGAAGCAGATGTTACAGCACTACATACTTAAAGAACAAGTCCACCCAAAAGTGATATTTAACTTACAGGTGAAGCATTATGGGCTGAGTCAGCCCTCGCTACTTATATGTCCCAAATAACAGCAAGATATGCCTGCCATAATTCTTAACTGTGCTCATGTCGATCTAGGAGCTTTAGGTGTTCCTTCTGATGTTTTTAGTATTTCATTGCCACCTATTGCATTTTTCCTAATATAAAGCAGGAGTAGGCAAACACGGCACTCCAGATGCAGTGAAACCACGAGTCTCATGAGGCACTGTAAGACTAACAGCCACAGGCATGACTCCCAGAGGCAGAGACATGAAGGGATTTGTAGGTTCACCACAACTGGGGTGTCGTGGTTCCCTACTCCTGGCATAAAGTTAAAAAAAACAGGGAGTTATCCCCATCATAATGACTGCAGTATTTGTGGAGACCCAGGAACTTAAAGTCAGCTATTTCAACTAAAGAATCTGCAACAGATATAACCAGGTTTCAAGTGGCTTGGCTTAAAGGAGAACTCTGGGGTATGTGTTTTTTTCCCATAGTTCTCCTAAGGGTCGCGGGAGGACATAAACTAGCGTCCTCCTGTGACTCAAAACTCAGTATACTGAGACCGACGCAGCCGGGATGGATCCCGACATTACTGTTGAGATCCACCCAGTTGCGTGAGTGACAGCTGGCTCTGCCTATTTAGTTCTGCCAGTCAGCGCTGGAGGATCGGAGCGGGGAGGTGGGAAATCCCTGCGGGTAGCCATGAGTGACAGTCACGGCTCTCTGCAGGGACATGATCGAGAAGTGAGCGAGCGACGGTATGTGTTCGCTCACTTCCCGATCTATTGAGCCGACGTGTGACAGTTTCATTGTCACACGTCGGCTCGAACTATGAGGTTGAGTGAAAATCACTCACCTCATAGTTCTCCTTTAAGTATCTAACAAACACTGCAATTTTGCTATTGGGTGGACTGACCCTTTAAGCCAATTTTATGTAACTGTCAAATAATTATAATTTACTATGATATTATTTGAGGTAAAAGCACATACCTTTATATCCCAGTATGGATACTGTGATGGTAAGTAAGGCACATAGAATATACAGCAAAATGATTGAAAATTTCAGGGCCCAGTTATTTTTACACTTTGTACACTGGTTGCCTTCTTGTATTCCTGTAAAATAAAAATAATACATTATAATAATCTAAACACAGGACACTTACAGTCTTCTATTATTAAAAAGCTGTTATAAGATGTGTGTTCTTTAATGGGAGTATCAGTCTTCTAATACAACCTTTTTACATACATTTATAATACATGATTTTTAAAAGTTAGTGTGTATTTTAATAAAGACACCCCTTTCTCTCACCCAGGAAAGATACATTCATATAATTACAGTAAAGACAAACTATAGAGCGGTGCTGAAATGCAGCTGTTCCCTTAAAAAAATGACATGTGAATGACATTGGAAAATACATACTGTATGTAACATCAAAGACGATAATAAGAATGAAACACAGGGTTGATAAAGGTGTGATCAATAC